GTGTGTGTGTGTGTGTGTGTGTGTGTGTGTGTGTGTGTGTGTGTGCCTGTGTGTGTGTGAGAGAGAGTGTGCCTGTGTGTGTGTCTGTGTGTCTGTGTGTGCGTGTGTGATATAGTAATAGTCCGTTTTATTCACTTAACAGTCCGTTTCGAGCACTTTTCTATGCTGCAGCAAGTTGTGGTCACCTGTGTATAGATACACGGGATCTTCAATCAAGGAAAGTCTTACCGACAATATTGACTGAGCCTGTGACCGATTGGGCAGTGTGCCTACGCAATGGCTTGTGCACAGTACCATCTCTGCTGTCGAGTGCGTGCTTGTTCAATCTAAAAGTTCTGTAGATGCTAAGGCGACATAGTTCGGCGCCGAGTGACTTGTTTATATCCTCGCCCTTGTTCCGCTCAATGGCTTAATATGATGCCAACGATTACTTCGCTGACGTGCTGGTTGTATTGTATGTGCATTCACTATATATAGACGATGAGACTCGTTGGAGTGTAGCCTACTCCCGACCAAGCGCTGTGAACCGGGTGGCAAACTTCTCGTATGAAGGTCTAGGATTCCTTAACCCTAGAAAACCCTACAAGTATTCGCTACAAGGGTTCGATGATGAGGATTGTGTTCAGCGCCTTGGCTTCCTCTAGCGTCGAATTACGCATGGTGTCTAGCGGGGTCGTGTGCATAACCAGCTGAAGTGGTAGGGTTTCAATGAATGGAGAACACAGGGGAGTTTAGTAGAGTATCATTGTTCAAGACAATAACATAGAAAATGAAACACAGGGGAGTTTAGTAGACTATCTTTTGTTAGGCTATCATTGTTCAAGCTCATAACATAGAAGAAGGAACATGGGGAAGTTTAAAAGACTATCCGTTAAAGCTCAAAACATAGAAAAGGGAACACAAGGATGTTTAGTACACTATCATTGTTCAAGACAAAAACATGGAAAAAGGAACACGGGGAAGTTGATAGACTATCATTGTTCGAGCTTAAAACATAGAAAAGACAACTCAAGGAATTTTAGTAGACTTTTCTTTTTCCAGCTTGTAATCATATATATGCTAGCTCGTCTAAACAGGTGTAGGTGTATTCAGAGGCGGGGCTTGTCTTGTCACGTATGTACGTGTTACTGTACAGCGTGTGGATTAGACACGAGTGCCGCTGTGGCGTTCTAGTCAATGTTAGTCGCTCGCTCGAAACGCCGGCCCGTGTAGCAATATTATTATCTGTGAGTATGCTGAAAGTGCCTACAATGATATGATTCTCGTGATAAAAGCACGGATGCAGTCTTTCCTAGTACCTGCAATAGCCACTGTATGCTCAATACACTCACTGTATGCTCAATACACTCACTGTATGCTCAATACACTCACTGTATGCTCAATACAATCACCGCATGCTAAATACACTCACTTTATGCTCAATACACTCACTGTATGCTAAATACACTCACTGTATGCT